AGTGAACAACCTTCACCCTTCATCGTCTTTAAATTCTGTTTTCTATAAATTCTTACTTTCCTTCATTTTTCACGCAACTCTTCAAACCCATTTCAGAGAAAAATTTTCAAACTTCAATCCAGAGCCTTCCCAGTGATTTTCCAACCAATTTCCTCACTCCTTAACCTTCCTAAACGCCAAAACAACTCATTTCAACAACAAATTTCGTGAAAATTCACGAAATTTTTGAGTTCAAGGAAATTTGGGGGTTTGCAATCTAGGCTTATTTTCACTCAATTGGTGGCAAATACTCCTTAGTGTTGGTAAGATTTCACATTCTCTAAGCTTTTTATTCAAAAATTTTGAGTTTTGAATTGAAGATCTGAGAATTTTGATTGTTGGTTTAGTTGTGGAATTTGTGTGCTTGTAAGTGTTGATTTTGTTTGAGGAAGGATTGATTGTGCATTGTGTGATATTGAGGAGCGTGGGTCTTGAATTTTGAAGTGTTTGGTTGAAATTGGAAAAAAAGTAGTTTGGGGGTTGAGGTGAAATTTTTTGGAAGTGTTGGAAGTTTTTGCAGGATTGAATTAGGTGTTGTAGGACACTTAGGTTTGAATTGTTGAGTTGCATTGTTTGAGTTGAAGTGTAGTTTAGGAGAAAACTCCGCTCAAAGTCAAGGTATCAACCAAGGGCAAAGGAATAGGAAAGAAAGTAGATGACCGGTTTATGAATGAAAAGGCTCGGAAAAACTATGAGGCAGCAGTCAAAAGGAAAGACAAGGGATTTATCCCTGAACGTGGACTGACTGCAACCAAGGCTAATGAGAGGAGTCAAGGTAGAAGATGGAAGAATTTTCTGGATGAACCCGAACATGCAGCTGTGGAACCACTAGTGAGAGAGTTTTATGCCAACCTCCCTGAATGTGATGAGGGGGTTGTTTTTGTGAGGGGCACTGATGTGGTATTTACGGCAAAGTCATCAATGATTTCTATGCCTTACCTTAGATTGACAGAGATGAATATGAGGAGTCCAGGAAGACACATGAGCTGTAAATTAGCTGCTGCAACAACTTCAGGATTGATACTTCAGAACACCAGTGGGAAGACTGGGATTCAGATGATTGGATGGGCTCAGAAACAGAAGAGGATGACGCTGAGAAAGACAAGGAAGCTGAAGAATGAGCACCTGTTTTAGTTTCGTTATTTTTTCTTGTTTAGTAGTTGTTTTTGTTTTTCTTTTATTTTGAACATTGAACTCCGTTGATATTTTTGTTTGGGATTGTGTGAGTTGTTTTAGTTGTTTCATTTTTGTTTTAAATTCTAGTTGATGTAAAGACGAGATTAGGGTTGTAATACTGTCTAATTAGTCAGTGGATTTTACTAACATAGTGGACACCATCGTTTTCAATTGTTTTACAGAATATGGGTGATGAAAAAGCTGAGGACCAAATGTGCACAATGTTGAGCGGAATTTCAACTTCACGGATTAATCAGGGAACTATCTCACACCTTTTTCTATTTTATTTTATTTTCCATTCCTAATTTATGCATAATGTGACATTGGGGACAATGTCATCTTTAGTTTGGGGGTAGGAAAATTTGAAAAATTTTGATTTTGTTTCAGTTAAGTTTGTGTTTTTATTGTGGTTGCCAATGATGAATTGCATAAGTCCATGATGAGACTAGGATTGTTGGGATGTTATTGTTGAAAAATGTTAAGCATTGCTTCAAATTTTTATTTATTGACAGGATTTTGATTGAGGTTGTTGAGTGGTTCAACCACCATTTTCATTTATTTCGGCATGCTTAGATTCATTTTATGTGGTTAGGTAAAATTTGATAATGTTGGTGGATTCTAGAACCTAGTAGAGAAGTGTTTGAGGCGAAATCTTAGGAATAGACATTGTTGAGGAAATGATTTAGGTATTTTTCGGAACGTTTGAGCCTTTCTAGCCAACCCACGAGTGATATTGCCCCTAGTCACCTACTTGAGCCTTATGAGATTATCATTGTGTCTTATTTTCTTACAAACCAAAAAATTTCCCAATCCGACTACCCTAAACACATAATCGTATCCTTAGGAGAATCTTAGGCCTAATGCAAACACAAAGAAAGTGAAGAGTGGTGCGAATCATTAAAAAAACAGTTTGGGGGTTGTGAGAAGGGCGATAAGAATAAGAGAGTTAATTAACATCAATTTGATTGCTTTGAAAAAAAAAAAAAATTGTTCTTTAGTTCAATTCAAAATCAAAATAAGGAATGCATAAGTTCGAGGGGTGTAAATTGGTTGATACTTTGATTGGTGGTTGAGAAGAAGTGGAGTTTGATGTGACTTGTAGTGTTTGCATGAGGAAAACCGAGTTCTCTTACTTTATTTATCCTATCCTTTTTCTTAAAACCCACTACCCGAGCCTAACGTTACAAGCTTGCAAAGACTTTTTGATCCTTAAGGATGTCTAGTCCACGTTAGTGGAGAGTAGTTCGATATTTAGGCTTATGGAGTTCGCCACCATTTGATAAACTTTTCATTTTTGCATAAAATAATCCAGGAAGTTGGAATGTGGATTGAAGTGGGGATCACCTACTCGGTGGACCGATTGAGACAGACTGTCGATGTAGCTTATAACTTCTTAGAGTGTTGAACATTTTCTGATAATAATTTTTCAACAACCTTTGAGACTTTTGAAATTTCGAGGCAATTCGTATGTTGAGTTGAGTCAAAGTTGTGTTTGTTCATTTTTCAGTTTTGTTGTGTTGTGTTTTGTGTTTTTGGTTGTTTATTGTTTTTCTTTCATTGAGTCCTCATGCTCGAGGACGAGCATGTCTTTAGTTTGAGGGTATTTGATAATCCATGGATTATACTGTTTTGATTAGACTTTTTAGTCAGATTTTAGATACTTTTTAGTTCATTTTGACCTGAATTGCTACTTAATTCTTTATATTTTGTGTTTCAGGCTAAAATGGACATTTAATGCAATTAAGGAGTGAATTGGAGTTTTTGGATTCAGAAGTGAGCGGATCTCAGAAGTTGGGAAAGTTCTGAAGCAGAATGGATGCACGATGAAACTTGTTCCATGAGAAAAGTGTCAAAGATCGAAGATTCAAGCAAAGAAGCAAGTGGAAGGCAATTCTGTAATTTCAGAATTCCACATGAAGGTTCACCGCAGCGAAGAGAGTTATGCATGTGGGTTTATTTCACTTCATCGCCGCGGCGAAGAAGCGGCGAAGTCTGGGAATTTAAAAAACACATAGTTTCATTTAGGCATTTGTTTTTAGGTTTTTGGCTGAGTATAAAAGAGAAACTTAGTCATTTTACAAAGTAGTTCGTTTCTTCTATGAGAGAGCAGCTTTTTACATTGTCTTAGATTAGTTTTGGGCAAACTTTGATTGCAAAGGGTGAAGATTCGAGATTAAACCAGTGGATTCTTCATTTGGGGAGATTTTCTTGTCATTTCTCTTTTTTTCATTATGTTGAACTTCGAATTTTTCATTTCTTTTATTGGTATTGTTGATTTAGCCATGAACTAACCTATTTTAGGTTAGAGTTTTGATGTAGTTCGGATTCTAATGGGTTAAGTAATTGATGATTATTATTTTCATATGATTTTGCTTAGATTGTGTGATTGTTCTGAAATTATTGTTTTTATGTAATGAACATGATGAGATTGAGAAATAATTCATGTTAAGCTTCTTGGTAATCACCATTGTAATATTAAATGCTAGAGATAGATTTAAGAATTAATGAAATCAATCTAGGATTCTTGTGCTTAATGAACCTTGAACTACTAATCTTCATTTTGTTGGGTGCGGAAGTTTAATAGGAAAAAGTAAGGAAATATAGCCTGAGAAGGTATATTTTATACTTTAGAGAGTTCGATTTACAATCACTGCATGTGACTTTGAAATTAGTATAATCCTTAGGTTTAACCCAGATAGTCCAAATAAAGTCAAAACCCTACCCGTTTTTTTTGAATTGATTTTATCCGTGTCTTAAATTTTGCTTTCATCATTTAGTTTTAAACAATTAGAAATTTTGTTTTAGTTTTTAAGTTTAATTTGTCTCCCTTCAATCCAAGCAACTCGATTACTCTAACTTGAAAACAGTAGAAAAACTTAGTGCTTAGCCACCAATCCTCATGGGAACGATACTCACTCATCATTTTATTACTTGTGCGACTAGTATACTTGCTACATATTACATGTTGTAGTAAACACGCATCAGTAACACATACTTCGACCAGTACCCGGCCTGCCCATGACTTTTGCGGATGGACCGGGTACTATCCGCGGGTACCCGCAGACCCGCAAATTTGAATTTAAAAAAAAATTAAATAAAAAACTTTCACTCAAACCCTAAGATAAACCAAAACTTATCACTATCAGTGAAAAAAAACAAAAACGCAGCCGCTCATTCTCTCACACACAGGCCACACAGCTCCAGCCTCCATGGCAGCTCATTCACGACAACTCATTTATGCACGACCATTCCTTTCACAATAGCTCCAGCCACGACCACTCCTCTGTCCTCTCACAGCAGCTCCACCTCCACTCCCTCACTTTCTCACTCTTATAGCAGCTCCACGGCAGCTCATTCACGCACGACCATTCCTCTCATAGCAGCTCCAGCCACAACCANGGCAGAATGTTCTAGGACGTCCAGTGCAGATGCGTCAAATTCAAGCTCGATTAAAACCTTTATGCAGCGAGTATCTCTCCAAACTCAAAACATGAACGTTGTATATCTATTTCTTATCGTTCCACAGCATTTTGAATCATCTCAATCGGAGCTCGGAAGAGAGAGTTATGCCCAGATTACGAAACAATGTCGAAACTGTCCGAATTCACTTAATTAGTTCCGTTTTACAATTAACGCCTCCATTTGCATCCTAAATCAAAATAGAATAATAATGAGTACATTTAGGAAACAAATACGTATAAAAGACTAAACATTAAGGGGGTAAATATGACATTTTTCATTCCCATTAGTTCCTGACCGAATTCTTTCCTCCAGCAAAGTCGGCAAAGTTTAGAAATGACATCACGTCATTCATTCAAGAAAAGACAAAATCTTTGTATGAGGCTTGGGAGAGATACAAAGAATTACTGAGAAGGTGTCCACATCATGGGTTTCCAGTTTGGATACAAGTCCAAACATTTTATAATGGATTAACAGTAAATGTGCAAACTATGGTGGATGCAGCCTCGAGAGGAGCATTACAGAATAAGACTCTGGAAGAAGCTCATGAGTTGCTTGAGGTTCTAGCAAGCAACAGCTATCAAAGACCTAATGAGAGGGTGCTACCGAAGAAATCTATGGGTCTTCATGAAGTTGATGCCTATACAGCCATTTCAGCCCAATTGACAGCACTTCAGAAACAGTTGGGAAGTATGCAGGTAAATTCCATTCAAGCTCCTCAACTAACTTGTGTTTTTGTGCAGGTAATCATGTGAGCAGTGAATGTCAAGTAGGGAGCACATTTGCCTCAGCATCATCAACATTAGAGCAGGTTAACTACTTGGTTGGAAATCAAAGGCAACCGAACAATCCGTACTCCAACACATTTAATCCCGGTTGGAGGAATGACCCAAACCTATCTTGGGGCAATCAAAACCAATAAAATCAGCAAAACAGTCAATGGAATCAAAGGTCATTGCCAAATAACCAAACAGGGGTGAGCAACCAACAAGGGGACCCAAGAGTGACAAAATTGGAGGACATGTTTGGGAGGTTCATGCAAGAGACCATGGGTTTTATGAGTGAGACGAGAACTAATTTTAGAAATCAAGGGGCGTCCATTCAGAATCTTGAGGTACAGATGGGGCAATTGGCTGAAAAGCTAAATGAGAGACCACATGGTGCTCTACCAAGCAACACAGTGACTAACCCACGTGAGCAAGCAAATGCAATAATTTTGAGAAGTGGGACAATTTTTGGAAGAGGTGGAAAAATCAAGAGAAGAAGAAAACCCACCAAAGGAAAAGGAAGAATCTGATGAGGAAGTAGATGAAGAAATAGTTGTGGAAGAGAAACCATCTATTTCTAGGGAAGAAGAACAGAAATGGGAAGAGGGGAAAAAGAAAAGGAAAGAGAAATTATCATTTCCCGAGATACCACCAGAGTTAGCACATCACACTCCACTCGTGCCTTTTCCTCAAAGACTGAAGAAAAAGAATCAGGATAAGCAATTTTCCAAATTTATTGAAATATTTAAAAAACTGCATATTAACATTCCTTTTGTAGATGCATTACAACAGATGCCGACCTACGCAAAATTTCTTAAGGAAATTTTATCGAACAAAAGGAACTTAGAAGATGAGGAAACGGTGATACTCATAGAGGAGTGCAACGCCATTCTCCAAAAGAAGCTACCTTCGAAACTCAAGGATCCATGGAGTTTCACTATTCACTGCATTATGGGAGATATTACTTTTGATCATGTTCTATGTGATTTAGGTGCTAGTATTAATCTAATGCCCTTTTCTGTTTTCAGAGATTGGGAATTGGTGAAGTGAAGCCGACGACCATGTCGTTGCAACTTGCAGATAGGTCATAAAACATCTGAGGGGGATAGTGGAAGATGTGTTGGTGAAAGTGGATAAATTAATCTTCCCGGTAGATTTTGTTGTTTTGGACATGGAAGAGGATAAGGAAATTCCTCTTATTTTGGGCCGACCATTTTTGGCCACGGGAAGAGTGCTGATAGATGTGCAGGAAGTAAAGTTACTATTGATAGTGCAAGATGAAACAATAACTTTCAACGTCTTTGAGGCTATGAAGTTTCCATCCGAATCAGATTCATGTTTTAGTGTTGATGTGGTGGATAAACTAGTAGTAGAATGTATTGAAGAGAACCCCCATAATTACCTCTAGAAGCTTGTATTGCCAAATCAAAAACAGTAGAGGTAAATGAGTCGGCGAGTAATGAATGCGCTAGATTGTTGGAAGCACTTCAACCAATTGATGAGAGCCAAGATTGAGAATTTAAGGAATTCGATTTTGAAAAAGAAAGGGAAAAGGAAAAAAATGAAGAACCTCCACAACTTGAGTTGAAACCTTTACCTTCCCACCTCAAATATGTGTATCTTGGGGAATCAGAGACCTTCCCAGTAATTATTAGTTCAAGTTTGAGTAGATTGGAAGAAGATCAGTTGATAAGGGTGTTGAGGGAACACAGATTAGCAATTGGATGGACTATTTCGGACATTAGAGGCATTTCACCATCATTCTGCATGCATAAATACTCATGGAGGATGATATTAAGCCTAGGGTGCAACCACAGCGAAGATTGAATCCTTCGATGAAGGAAGTGGTGAGAAAGAAGGTGGTGAAACTCCTAGATGCGGGAATAATTTATCCTATTTTTGATAGTCCATGGGTTAGCCTGGTATAAGTGGTTCTGAAGAAGGGAGGTATCACGGTGATAAAAAATGAAAGTAATGAATTGATACCAACTAGGACGGTCACGGGCTGGAGAGTGTGCATTGATTACCGAAAATTGAATAAGGCAACAAGGAAGGATCATTTTCCACTTCCTTTCATTGATCAGATGTTGGAGAGGTTGGCAAGGCATGCCTATTACTGTTTCCTGGATGGGTATTTAGGATGTAATCAGATTGCCATCGCTCCTGAGGATCAAGAGAAGACGACCTTCACTTGTCCATATGGCACCTTTGCTTATCGAAGGATGCCTTTTGGGTTATGCAATGCAGCAACCACATTCCAGAGATGCATGATGTCGATCTTTGGAGATATGGTGGAACAGTTTATAGAAATCTTCATGGATGACTCCTCAGTTTTTGGTTCATCTTTTGACAACTGCTTATCTAATCTTTCTCTTGTTTTGCAGCGATGTAAGGAGACAAACTTGGTGCTCAATTGGGAGAAGTGTCACTTCATGGTCCAGGAGGGAATAGTGCTTGGTCACAGAATTTCAAAAGACGGAATAGAAGTTGACCAAGCAAAGACAAAAGTAATTGAGAAGCTGCCACCACCATTAAATGTTAAAGCAGTTCGAAGTTTCTTGGGGCATGTGGGGTTTTACAGACGATTCATCAAGGACTTTTCTAAGATTTCTAAACCCCTTTGCAATTTGTTAATTAAAGATGTTGCTTTTGATTTTAATGATGAATGCATGCATGCCTTTCTAACTCTTAAAAAATTGTTAGTATCTGCACTTATTATTGCAGTTCCCGATTGGGGACTACCATTTGAATTGATATGCAGTGCTAGTGATTTTGCTCTAGGAGTAGTGTTAGGACAGAGGAAAAACAAAGTGTTGCATGTAATTCAGTATGCTAGCAAAACACTCACTGATGCACAATTGAATTACACCACCACTGAAAAAGAATTGTTGGCTATGGTTTTTGCTTTTGACAAATTTTGTTCATACTTGTTAGGTGCAAAGGTGATCATCTATACAGACCATTCAGGACTCAAGCATTTATTGGCAAAGCAAGAAGCGAAACCTCGGTTGATAAGATGGATCATATTGCTTCAAGAGTTTGAGTTAGAAATTAGAGATAAGAAGGGGTCAGAAAATGTGGTGGCAGATCACTTGTTAAGAATTGAGAGACCAATCTAGGGAAATGAAGAAGAAATTCCAATCAGAGAAACATTTCCGGATGAGAAATTGATGAGAGTGGATGAAGCACCATGGTATGCAGATTTTGTGAATTATTTATCATCAAGGGTGCTCCCAATTGGAATGACTTTCCAACAAAAGAGGAAATTCTTCTTAGATTTGAAGTATTACTTTTAGGAAGAGCCATTTTTGTACAGACACTGTACTGATCAAATGATACATAGATGTGTCCCGGAGGAGGAAATGGAAAGCATTCTACGGCATTATCATGAGAGGAAAATGGGTGGCCATTTTGGAGGAGCTAGGATAGCAGCCAAGGTTCTTCAATCTGGGTTTTATTGGCCAACCCTTTTTAAGGATTCCTTTCGGATGGTTCATGAGTGCGACCAATGCCAACGGAGTGGTAATATTTCAAAAAGGGATGAGATGCCGTTGAACAACATCCTTGTGGTTGAGCTATTTGATGTTTGGGGGATTGACTTCATGGGTCCTTTCCCAAATTCTTTTGGGAACACATATATCTTGGTGGCGGTGGACTACGTATCGAAGTGGGTGGAAGCAGTTGCATTGCCATCTAATGATGCCAGGGTAGCGATTAATTTTGTGAGAAAGAATATTTTCTCAAGATTTGGGGTACCACGGGCGATCATTAGTGATGAAGGATCCCATTTTTGCAATAGGCAATTGGATGCACTTTTGGGATAGTATGGAATGAAGCATAGAGTTGCAACACCTTACCATCCACAGACGAGAGGACAAGTGAAACTATCTAACAAAGAGCTTAAGGGAATTTCAGAAAAGACAGTTAATGCATCTAAGAAGGATTGGTCACGAAAATTAGATGATGCATTATGGGCCTATCGAACTGCATTTAAGACTCCAATTGGTATGTCTCCATTTAGGATGGTTTATGGGAAAGCATGTCACTTACCGGTAGAACTCGAGCATAAAGCATACTGGGCAGTCAAGTAGCTAAATATGGACTTAAGAGTTGTTAGGGAGGAAAGGATGTTGACTTTGAATGAACTGGATGAGTTCCGTCTCGAAACATATGAAAATGCTCGAATTTACAAAGAAAAGACAAAAAGGTGGCCTGACAAGCATATCAGGAAGAAGAATTTTGAAGTGGGTCAGAGAGTGTTATTGTTCAATTCTCGACTTAGGCTTTTCCCTGGAAAACTTAAGTCGAGATGGTCCGGACTATTCACAATTACAAGAATTCACTCATCCGGAACGGTGGAAGTTACACATGAAGAAAAGGGCACTTTTACAGTCAATGGACAGAGATTGAAGCCATACATTGATGGTGATGAGTTGCAAGTCCATCCCGATCCGGCTTGACATTCCGACTTGAGGAATTGAGAAAGTTGAGCTTTCGACTATAAACAAGCGCTTCTTAGGAGGCAACCCAAGTGTTTTCATTTCTTTATCTTTGTCATTGTTTTGTAGTTGTTTAGTTTTTGGTTTGATTGTGTTTATGAAGTTTAATTTGTGTATTTTTGGATGTTTCAGGTGAAATTGTGAATCAAAGGAGAAAACTAAATTTT